TGATGACTTGAGCAGGGGAACCTTCCTTGCAATGCATGATTTGAAACAATGACGGCGTAGTGTTCTACCGACAGTGACCTTTGAAACTGTGGTCCCAGCTCTCTTCATGTCATTGACCAGCTCCTCCCTTGTAGTGCTGGGCTGATTCCTCACCTTTCTTATCATCAGTGATACCCCACAAGGTGAGATCTTGCGTGGAGCCGCAGTCCGAGGGAGACTGACAGTTGTCTTTTGCCTCTTCCATTTTCTAATAATTTCTCCAACAGTTGATCTATTTTTACCAAGCTGCTTGGCAATTGCCCCGTAACCCTTTCCAGCCTTGTGGAGGTCCACAATTTTTTCTCTGGTGTTTTTTGACAGCTCTTTGGTCTTGCCCGTGGTAGTAGTTGGCGTCTGACTGACTGTGGGGTGGACAGGTGTCTTTAAAGAGCTCAGACAGGTGCTACTAAGTTAGATTAATGAGTGGAGTAGAGGTGGAATTTTTAAAGGCACAGTAACAGGTCTTTGAGAAGCAGAATTCTTGCAGTTTCTTAGGTGTTCAAATACTTATGTTAAGCAGTGCAAGACAAATAAATTCTTTAAAAAATCATACAATGTGATTTCCTGAATTTTTTTTTTTTAATTCTGTCTCTCAGAGTGGGAATGCACCTACAATGTGAATTTCAGACCCCTCCATGATTTCTAAGTGGGAGAACTTGCAAAATCGCAGGGTGTTCAAATACTTCTGTTCCTCACTGTATGACATCTAATGTTCAAAAGGTCATGGTTAGTAAGCCAGATGCTTTTTCACATATCACAGCCACACATAGTTCTGATACATTAATTTTTTATAGCCCATACACATGAATTTTATAAAATTCTAAATTTGTATTCATTATAATTCATATTTAACACAGATTATTAAATATTTTTAAGGATTTCATTCTTGAAGACCATTTTTTTAAAAAATATTTTCTTCATTTTATACTACCTTATTTCATATATTATTGGTATTATTGATAATATTTCACTGCTGTCGCCAATACTGATATGGTATTACAATATGAGTGATGCTATTTTTAATAATAATTACTTTTCATCCTCATTACCACCATTTGTATTATTAATACTTTTATTGATTTAATATTTTCACACTTTTATCAGCCTTACTGGTATTTGTTCTCTAGCATTCTGAATCATGTGTTATGAGAATGTATAACTTTATTTCAGGTACTTATATAGCGCTGTCAATTTACGCAGCACTTTACATATACATATTGTACATTCACATCAGTCTCTAACCCTCAAGGGGCATACAATCTAAGATCCCTAACTCACATTCATACATACACATACTAGGGCCAATTTAGACAGAATCCAATTAACCTACCAGCATGTCTTTGGAGTGTGGGAGGAAAGTGGAGTACCCGGAGGAAACCCACACAGGCACAGGGAGAACATGCAAACTCCAGGCAGATGTGCCATGGTTAGGATTTGAACCAATGACCCTAGTACTGCCAGGTGGAAGTGCTAACCATTTAGCCACTGTGCTTTTTGTGTTGTAATTTTAGCCATGATGGAGATGACTTTATAATCAACCTGTAATTGGAAAACAACTGCACTGTGCAGCACTGCAATTCAGGATTCATTCATCCCCATCACAACCAAAGGTGATTGTTGAAAAGCCTTCAGCTTGCAGAAACTGCCAGGCCAGTAATCAAGATTCTATTAACACAACCCCATACCAAGGCTGACATACAAGTCAAATGTATGGAGAAATAAGTATTCTATTATTCACTGTAATGCAACAGCCAGTCAGAAAAAAATAAAAGCAAAGTAACTATAGGCAAAACTTTTTTTTTCATTTTAGATTCAGTGAGGGTTATATCCCGTCAGTTTTTTTGCCATCTGCTATAGGGGAGATTTCCTTTTACTTCCTGTCCCAAACCAAAACAGGAAGTGAGAAAAAACCCTACAAAGTGAGGGAATCTCTGGTTGTGACCAGTGGAGTTTTTTACTTTCACTTTTCACTCCCTAACAGGGGCACCAACAGCAATAAAAACTGACAACTGTTCTAATCCCTCTCCAATCTAAAAAAAAAAAAAAAAAAAAAAAAAAAAAAGAAGTTTTGCCTTTAGTTACAACTTTTTAAGGAAACCAATAAAGTGCACCTGGCACTGTCTGTAATGATAAGGCCATTAATGTGTGAGGAGGAAGTAATACTACTAATATGGAGCACATGCATCATAAATTTCCATAATACCAGTGAAATATTTAATGTCACCTGAAGAATAAACATAAAAATTAAAATAAGATTACAAAAGAAACGCCATGAGCAGTTTAATAATAATATGATGCATGGCATCCTATATTATTCTCCAGAAGTATTTTTATTCCTGTAGGACAAACAATGCTTACACATTTAGAAATCTCACCGGTCATTTTTTCAAGTATCTCGCTACATCACAAGTTTACCTGAAGACAATCAGAACCAAAAGCAGTAGATCTACACAGTCTGGAGTCATGATTTACAAAGAGTATATTAGGCTGTTACATTTGGTTTCTTCCTAGTGGTTTTGGGTGTCTAGTAACAGAGTAGACTCCTTACAACCCTTCAGAAATGTTCTATATTGTGACTATTCTCTAGGATTGTCAGGGGAGGTAAAGAAAAGAAGGAAAGTATAGTGCCAGGCCTTCCTTGAATACTAAATACAAATGAGCCAGACACCAAGTAACCAACTAGTATACTTTTACAATTCTGAAAGGAAACCTGGGCACTGAAGTAGACCCACATTACACTACAATTCCATGCAGATTGGGGTCTAACTGGAGTCAATAAACCAGTATGAGTAGTACATAAAATGTCTGGTCATTTAGAATGTGCAGCACAAAAACAGATACGCGTAATAGTTATGTGGCTTTGCTTTAAAGTGAACCTGCAGGACGGGGATATGGGAGCCAGAATGGCTCTGATTTTAAATGTGCAGTTCTAACCCTGACATCTTACCATAGTTTCAGAAGTCACTTAGACAGAACAAGCAAATAGCTAATGAAGTCTATTGCATATTTGTTCCAGCCCAGGAACTCACTAGTCAGTGATACATGAATCTAGATGACATTCTGAAGCATATGCTTTAAAAAATGTAGTGGGATCTCCCATATTTATTTGCACACAGTTTTACTTTTAATCTTGCCCTGTTTACTTATGTATCTTGCCCATACAGAGAAGACCAGAGAGAGATTGTAATCTCTAAAATATTGGATAGGAGTCTAACAATGCCAACCAAAATACTCTAGAGGCTTTGAACAGCAAAGATAAATTAATTTCCATTTAAAACACAAGGTGCGGATTTTATATATATTTATTACACTCACTTACAAGCACACCGCATACATACACGTCTACTGGTATGTTAATATCGGACTATACATTTGCATACTAGAGAACAGCTGAATTAATGAATGCAGGTGTACTGCTTTGCTCATGTCAGCATATAGGCTATTATACAATGAGGGTGGTGTGCAACAGGATATGATGAAAACAGCAATAATTTAAAATACAGCAATTCAACATTCCTGTGTAACTGACCGAGTGTTGATACAAATTCTCTTCACTTACCCTTCAGCTTTGTCATCTCACACCTGGACTAATCCATACACATGACCACTGAGAAGCTTTAATCTTGCAGTTTGTCGTAGTTGAAACCTTACCTTATTTTAGTAAGCAGGTCCAGGAAAATAACTTCACTTCAGCAACAATCAGTATAACAAACAATCATACATAACACACTTTACTGGTCCAAAGGTTTATCGGGAACATACTTGCTGACAAAATGCAGACATGAGCCTTGACAAATAACTATCACTATCTATGTGTGATTCAGCATTCAAAACATGTCCAGTACAATCTGCATATTTCACTAAACAGATTGGAGTAAAAATATTATGAGTGAACATGGATGGGCTCCAGCCATGGAGACCCACTTAAAAGCTGCATTGGCAGTTTCAATTTGAAGACGTCTCAAATTGTTGCATGTACAGCCAACTATGAAGTCAATGATTTACAGTGCTTTGAAAAAGTATTCATACCCGTTGATATTTTCCACATTTTGTCATGTTACAACCAAAAACGTAAATGTATTTTATGTGATAGACCAACACAAAGTGGCACATAATTGTGAAGTGGAAGGAAAATGATAAATGGTTTTCAAAATTTTTTTACAAATATTTATCTGAAAAGTGTGGTGTCCATTTGTATTCAGCCCCCCCGAGTCAATACTTTGTAGAACCACCTTTTCACTGCAATTACAGCTGCAAGTCTTTTTGGGGATGTCTCTACTAGGTTTGCACATCTAGAGAGTTACACTTTTGCCCATTTTTCTTTGCAAAATAGCTCAAACTCTGTCAGATTGGATGGAGAGCGTCTGTGAACAGCAATTTTCATGTCTTGCCACATATTCTCAATTGGATTTATGTCTGGACTTTGACTGGGCCATACTAACACATGAATATGCTTTGATCTAAACCATTCCATTGTAGCTCTGGCTGTATGTTTAGGGTCTTTGTCCTGCTGGAAGGTGAACCTCCGCCCCATTCTCAAGTCTTTTGCAAACTAACAGGGCTCAATACAAAATGCACGCCACACTTTTCACATATTTATTTGTAAAAATTTTGAAAACTATTTATCATTTTCCTTCCACTGCACAATGTGCCACTTTGTGTTGGTCCATCACATAAAATCACAATAAAATACATTTACGTTTTTGGTTGTAACATGACAAAATGTGAAAAATTTCAAGGGGTATGAATATTTTTTCAAGGCACTGTACCACAAGGATGCAGATAAGGGCTTATAACTTTTTTCTAAATTCCCTCATCGGCAAACGTACTCCTGCTCAGTGACCAAAAATTATTATAGCAAGAACATCAATGTAACAGCCAATCAACCCGCATTTTGAAAAGGAGGTAGTCATTGGCAACCTCTGTGTTCCTCATATAAAGGTTTACTACAAATGACTTACCTGTAGCTTCCACCATGCCTTCTAAGATGACCACAATCTCGAAGTCTTCCATCTCAAGTTGTGCACGGGACATCTCCCAGAATGGGCTTTTTTCATTGATTTCATGTGAAATGATTAGTGGGGAGACCAGAAAGAGGCGGTCATCTCCTGTATCAAAGCCAACATTAATGTCCGTCTGATTGAGTGGGATGAACTCTCCTTCCTTGGTCTGCTTGGATTTAATGAGTTTGGCTCGGATTGAGGCCTCAACAATATGGGAGCTTCGGAGATCTCCTACTCTAAACATGAGGCATAATTTGCCATCCCGCAAGGAAATCACTGTATGGTTGGAGAACATCAGGGTTTCAGCTCGTTTTTTTGGCTGGCTTATCTTTACAAACATGCACCCTACCATGAGTGCATTAACAATAGAGCCAAGAATTGCCTGAATGAGAAGCAGAACTATTCCTTCGGGACATTTCTCCGTAATAACTCGGTAGCCATAGCCAATGGTGGTCTCTGTCTCAATGGAAAAGAGGAAAGCAGAGACAAAGCCATTTAGATTCTCCACACAAGGAACCCAGTCCTTGTCCCCTAAATGTTCCAGGTCTCCTCTGAGATAAGCAATAAACCACCAAATTAGGCCAAAAAATAACCATGTCACTGTGTACACAAGAGTGAAAATAAACAAGCTAAAGTGCCACTTTAGGTCAACCAAAGTGGTGAACATGTCACTGAAGTAGCGGTAGGTTTCCTTCACATTGCCATGGTGAACGTTGCACTTGCCGTCTTTCTCCATATATCGCTGACGGGGCTTTTTGTGCTCAGCTAAGAGATGGGAACGGTCAACAGTCAAAGTTGGATCTTCACGAGCCTGTTTGGGTAACTTTTTAGGCTCCCTGGGTGCAATATTGACATCCAAATCCTGATCCATGGGAACTCTTAAATCTCGTGCCATAATGGGTGTATAACTGTGGGAAGCCAAAAAATATTGAAAAATTTGTGAGGAAGTTTAAATTATGCAATAAACTGATTTACTTACAACAAAAAGTAAATAAATGCAGAAATACTGAAAATAGAGGGTTGAGATGTGCTTATTTTCTATAATAGCTGTAATAAACTTCCCACTCCAAATCTCCAGTTATCTGGGAGTCCCTAAATGCTTATCTGTGTGGTGCAGGAGATGTGTTTCCAAATACACCAACTGTAGGCTTGCCATTTCTCACAATGTATAATTAAAACAATTAAAGCTCCCAACCACCAGACTTTTCCTGGAGGTTTCTCTCTTACTGGTGACATACAGTATTAGGCACAGACAGAGAATGTTAACCAGAACATATTAATGAAGCTTATAAACCCACCACAAATATGTGTCAATTTCCTATATTTGGCTGCAATGGATAATTTTAGTACAATTGCTCTTTAGGGTAGATGTAAACCCCATCACGTAAATGTTATATACTTTTATAAAATAGTCATTGGAAATCCTGCTATATATTAGTGCTTGTCCTTTCCCTGTCTACCATTCACTCTCTTATGCCTGTGATACAGGCTTAGGATAGAGGCTACATGTGGCCATTTCATTTAAGCAAGCATAGTCCACTGTTCTCACCATCAGGAAACCCGCCCTAAAATATACTATGCAGCCATCGCTGCCATGCATGTGGACAGGAAGTGGTTGCAAAAGGTAAGGAACACTGATATCTGACAAAAGATGAAAAAAGTTTAAGACAGATGGAAACATTTCATAGCTGAGGTCTGATGTTGGGCCTTCCAGCACAACACTGCCTCCTTGACTCTATGGTGCCTTCCAATACAAGCAAACCTTGTTCACCGCAACACAATTTTTTATACTGAAGGAATGCGTAATAGGGCAATTGCTTGCTACTTGCTTAGGAGTGTAATCCAGACTAAAAGTGACAGGAAGGAGTGTTAACTTGTGTTCACCATCATATCTAAATTGGTTTCCCTGAGCAGCATAAAACAGTTCTTCCTTCACTACAGGTCCTTAAACATTTTGCAGGTGTAAAGGCTAAAAGTTAACCCCCTTTTTTTTTCTAAACTCCAGCTCCCCTATGTGCCAGTATACATTAATATAATAAGCACTCTCTATGATTTTTAGAATAAGGTCTTACCTTAGCACCTGATGTGTTCCATAGAAAACGTTATGACTTCCTGGTATGTAGATTTGGGATGTGAAAAGGCCGGCCATACATGGGTCGAAATTCGACCGATTTTTCATCTGAAAATCAGACCAAAGAATAATCGTCTTATTTTCGCTCTGTTAGTGGGTCAATGGCACCGACTGATTTTCATGTGGTTCCTCCCCTTTTCAGGGATCGGGCATGTTGGAAAATTCGTGAAAAACTACCGATTTTTGACTCAATGATGGTCAAATCATACGAACGTTTTTCCGAAAAGAATATGTGCATGAGCCCTGACCTGGAAGGAACAGAAGTTTTGCATGTTATATGGGGGGTGAATTTTATGACTTGGTCGGCCGATTTTCGAAATCAATAATGGCACCATCAGATTAACGAGCGAACAAGGTTTTTGATTTTCGGACGAAAAATCGTTCGGAATTTGAACCATGTATGGCCTGCATAAGACACAAGCAGCAGTTCACCAGCTGACTTCATTAGCACACAACAGCTATGTTTGCATGGCATCCCCAGTGTTCCACCATATGGGCCCAGGCCACATACTAAGCTCTCTGGGGCCGCATGCTGCCCACAGGTTGGACACCCCCCTGATATAGTCCAAAGGCCTGCCTAAAATTTACTTTATATTTGCCAAACTATTGAGCAAGAGAACTCACCTATCTATTCACTTTTTATCCAATTAGGCAGGTCCGGCATTACATCAGAGGTGTCCAACTCACGTCCCCAGAAAGTTTAGCATGCGGCTCGGGCCCGTCTGCAGGGATACTTAAGATGCCATGCAAAATGTAGCAGCTGTGGTAGCCTACATTGACAAGCCAGGCAAATGAAAGCCTGGAGGGATGCCATGCAAACATAGTTCATGGGTGCAGGGTGTCTGTGCCAATGAGGTCAGCTGGTGAACTGCTTCCTGTGTCTTATTGGTTTTCACGTCTTAAATCTACATACCAGGAAGTCATGAAGTTTTCTATGGAACACAACAGGGGCTAAGGTAAGGCCATGTTCTACAAATCAAAGAAAGATTTTATTTTTTCGCAACATTACACTACAACAGGTACATTAATGGTATATTGGTACATAGGGGAGCTGGAATTTAGAAAAGAAGGTGAACTTGACCTTAAAAGTATAACCAAAAGGCAATACTTTATTTTAGTTTTGGATAGAACAGAGAGGGATTAAACACCTGTCATGATTTTATTGTTGCCTGTGTCCCCGTTAAAGAGATTCCCCCTATTTAACATGTTTACAGTTATCATCTAAAGTGAATTTTAAAAAAAAAAAATCCAAAATTTTAGGTTGTCCCTGGAACAGCAATAGCAGGGATATCTTCCAACGTTGACACTTATCCTGGTGACCCTAGTACCAACCAGGGATTCCCTTATTTTGATGGCTTTCCTCTCACTTCCGGTTGCCAGTCATTTGTCTTCAATTACATTTCAAACTACCAAAATTGTGACATGACAAAATTAGTCAGATTGGGTCAGATCTGGCACTGTGCCAAGTCTATAGAAGCCCCATGTCCTCTAGGACAAGGCATCCATCCTTTCTGATGCTAATCGCTATTGTGTCACTGGCAGTCTTCTTCTGACTTGCCTCTCCTCAAAGCAACAAACTTGATGCTTAATCGATCCAAGCGGTCATGTCTGTGCACTTTCCACCCTAACCTCTTATCTGGCAGTAGGACCATGCATGCACATTAAACTGCTCCCAGATATCTATGGGTGACTGAAATCACATTAATCAGAACCCACTGTACAAGTTTCTAGGACTGTTTTGGGGAATAAGCCCATTCATGCTGTTCCAGGACTGTTTCTTGTGTTCCTTTTTGAAATGTAAAAACATCAAACAAAATGTAAAAGAAGAAAAAAAAAAAAAAAAAAAAGAAAAAAGCTTGCAAATTTGCATATACAGTCACACTCATGTCTGAATGCCTAGACACTTGGTCATGTGAGCACTGCTAAAAGAGAGGATTAGAGTTTAGACTTTTTTTTATCATACCCTCAATAAGCATCATGTGAACAAGAATTTAAGCCTTGACATTTGAGACCAACACAAGAGGGGCTGGTAGCAATATTTTGTAAAAGAAAGTGAAGTATTTAAATTATTCTATCACTTACTTTAATTATTCAAAATGTTACTTCGCTTTATATTAGCAAAGTCAGCAACCTAAAAAGTGCTTCCAATATGCCATCTATTGGCAAAATATGAATGAACAAACAAATATTTTCCCATCTATAACAGTTTTTTTGATTTAAAAAGGATAAAAAAAAAAAAAAAAAAAAAGTGTATTAAAAAAAGAAAAATCGTAAAAATATAGTAATACCACCTGAGGGACATTCAGAGTGCCACATTAATATTTCTATAGATAATAAATAGAAAAGGGAGGCATATACTGTATAATTGATCTTTGCATAGCCATATACTTTAATTCCACTGTATTTTAGTCTGTAGATATGATTTAGGTCTGTGGGTGCGAGCTGGGAATATTACACAGGAATATCAGTCTTGATAGATTGTAATAGTAATGGGGACAGCAGCCTCTCAATCACTGCTCTATGAATTAATCTTCTTTATTACTTTTCTACTCCAAGTTAACCTCCACCCCCTCTCTTCAGTCTAATAGAAGAGCAAGAACTATAACACCATGATGAAAATAAACCACTAAGACTTAAAGATATATGTTTGACAATATTACGTCCTATACAATACACTACTGGTTCCATGTGGGCGCCAAAATCAATGCATAACAAAATAGGAAACCAAGTGGTTAATAGGTACAGTAACCAGATAAAGGTCACTGTGAAAGAATGACGAATGTTGTGAGATATTACAGTAGGTAATATTGGGCTGTCAAGCAGCAAGAAAATCATGATATACTGCAGGGCTCCAAGACTGAGGACCTAGGAGAAGGGAACATCAAAAGTCTGTGATTGGTATCCATATAGGGGAGGAATACACAACATACAATAGAATGTAAAATTTACTGAAACTAACTCTATAAATACTCATAAGGACAGGTCTTGTTTTCCTGCATCTGACATGTATGTCATACACATGTCAGTAGATACCCATTACCTTCATTGGACACAGTCTGTCCAATAAAAATGTATTTGGATTGCAGGCAAAGCAGGTGAAACTCTGGTCTTCTTATCAAATGTAGCATTTGATGAGAAAAGGCAGTCTACATAAGTCCCTTAGTACGATAACTTTTTCAATAAAAGCAATCACAAAAACAAAGATAAATACAGTACACCTAGCACTTTACCAAAAGGAAAAAAAATATATATTATACACAAATAAACTCATGGCTTATATGCTTCAACATTAAATCTGAAATTTCACCAAAAAAAAAAAAACAAAACCTTTTGTATAGTTGATGAAAATGTAAGTGCTGCCTCTAGAAATCTGTTTGTAGCTGTAATTTCTCTATTACAAGTTTTGATAACAGTTTCAACTGGAAGTACTTTATTCCATCACACCAGGGCTGGTAAGACACCAATGCTATGTTTACCTATCATACTACCAAAAGCAGGTTTCCCTATATTTTGGATGACCAATCACAAATTTGCAC